CAAAGCTTGAGTTTAGAAATTTTTCTCTGAAACAACAAGATGGAGAGATGGAGATTGAAGCTCAAATGAAGATGATCTCCTCCACTTGTGAAAACTTCTTGACAAACCAAAAACCAAAACTAAGACAAACTTAAACTCTTGTTAAACTTTTGTAAACTTGTATAAACAATTTTCTTAGTTACCCTCAGAAGTTAGAGGGTATGGGTATATATAGGTACCCTAAGAAACTAAAGAAAAAGACCAAACATCTAAAAAAACAAAGCTAGAAAATAGCCGTTATTGTGTAACGGACACTTTACGGGTCGACTCATAACCTAGTCGTTATAGGCTAAAAACAGCTTATGGGTTGACTCATGAAGTCATGAGTCGACTCATCAGAAACAAAACATACTTTCCAGCACAATTTATGAGTCGACTTATGACAGACATGAGTCGACTCAACCTGTCTGGGTTGACTCAAGATGTTATGAGTCGACTCATCAGAAACAAAATGTAAACTACACAAAGGTTTATGAGTTGACTCAACACTGTTCATGAGTCGGCTCAAGACATGCACACAACATGTTTTAAACAGTACATGTCAACTTAAAACAGGGTTTAAAAATATCAAATAGATTTAGAAAAATGTAAAACTTTAGGAAATGATTGTAGACATGATAATACACATGTTACAAAAATTGGTTTTCAAAAATCATCTCTCTTTTGTAAAATATCATCATTTTGTAAATATGTCCAAAACATGAAAACATGAGATACTTGAATTTTGATGTTTTGACATAAACCAAGTTTTGAAACTTTGTAAAATGATTTTATAGACTTGATAAAAAGTATAAACTATATTTGTTAAGTCTATAAACCATATAAACCAAAAACACAATCTTGATAAAAAGTATAAACTATATTTGTTAAGTCTATAAACCATATAAACCAAAAACACAATATTTTTCTAAATACAATAGAATATGAAACATATAAAAGTATATATGAAGATGCATATTGTTTCATATCTATATAGCTAAACCAAAATATATATGTATGTATATAATTATATATATACAAAAACCAAAACATGTATGTGTGTATATAATTGAGCTTGAAGTATTTAATGCATATAATATAAAACCTAAACTAATATACCAAGCGATGATCTTGATCTTCAATAAACTCTTCTTGGTAAACTTGCGGATGAAGCTAGGAAGTGCTTTTAGACTTGAAAGTATTTGCTTCAATCCACTATTCCACTAACCTCTATTGGATATGATTGTTGAAGCTCAGTTCCATCCATTCTCCAACATGTTGTTTGTCTACAATAAATAGAAAACCACAAACACTAGACAAACAACATTAGTCGTAAATTATTTGTTAAACATCATCAAAACAAAAAGACCAACAATCTCCCCCTTTACTCCGATAAGTATACGAGTAAAAACTGTTGGTCCTTTCCTCCAACTGGTGCACAAGGTAAAAATGCTTCCTATCCTCCAACCGGTACACGAGGTGAAACTGCTTCCTATCCTCCAACTGGTGTACGAGGCTAAACTACTCCTACCCTCCGACTGGTAATGAGGTTAAACTGCTCCTTACGCTCTTAATCCAAACACCTCAAATGGCTAAGGATAGAGGAGAAATTTTAGCATTGAGCCTAAGAGAAACTCCTCGGTAACTTACCATGCTAAGGGTAAGAGAACGACTAGTCCAACTCAAACAGCAATTGGTAAAGACAAATCAAGTCCGTTGATAGCTGAGGGTTTGCTCAAAATCCTATATGGCGATCATCAGCTACGAGTGAAGAGGTCAATTTCACCGAGCTCATTGGAAGGTTCCTCACTCCGTCTGAATAGTGATCACTTTACAGATCTTCATATCTAAAGTGTTCCAGACCCCATGCTGCCTGATTCAGGTTCTAAAAACTTTGGAGGAGGTTCTGTAGGCAATAAAAATTATCTTTAATCCCTATTAGAGAAGTTCAGAACAATATTGCTAAAACCTCGCTCGAAATAGCAAAAAAGGGGAAAATGCTAATATCTCTCAAACCGAAAGAAATTTGGCAAAACAAATGGAGGAAAACCGAACCCTTTGGATCGGTTTAGTCGGCTCCGTCTCGCCGAGATAGGCAATTTTTATATATAATTCGTCAAATTTTGACTTACGGTTTGAAAGTTATGAACTGTTCTTCGTGACATGTTCTGGAGCTCGCCTCCATAAGGCAAGCTCGCTTGCACAGATTCGCCTGCAGAGCTCGCCTAACAGCTTAAAGCTTACCTGCATGATCCAGGCTCGCCCAAAGGCAAGATCGCCTGCACAGCCTCGCCTGCACAGCCTCGCCTATAGAGTTCACCTGATAGCTTGAAGCTCGCCTGAAGGTTAAGCTCGCCTGATTCAGGCCAAGCTCGCCTGATTCAGGCCAAGCTCGCCTGCAGACCCTTGGTTCGCCTGCAGAGTCGCCAGCTCGCCTGCAGGGTCACCAGCTCCTCCGCATGGGTCACTAGCTCGCCTAGCCTGTCGGCCGCCCACTTAAGGTAAGAGTGCAGTCACTTCCCTTGATTTAAGGGATTGACCATACCCAGTAAGAGAGCGGTCAATTCCCATGATTTAAGGGATTAACCATACCCAGCATGGGAAAGGTCATTTCCCATAATTTAAGGGAATGGTCACATCCATCCTCTCACGTTCTGAGGAAGTGGTTGCTCACCACTTTTTCTCTATAAATAGTCATTGATGGCTACATAAGAAAGGGCCTTGGCCTTCTTTAGAACTAGAACTTTTAAGTGACTGGCTGAACCTTCTTTTGGACAGCCCCCTTAGCATTTTTAAAGTCTCAATCTGAATTCTCAGATTTGTAGACTCTTGGCTCATTGGCTTTGCAAACTCTTGCATTGTAGCATTTTTGGTGCATTCGGACTTGATACTCATCAAGCTCGGGCATTCGAACTCCAACCGCAACTTTGATCGGATCGCCCAAGGGAAGCAAACTCGGTACAAGCACCGAGGGAGGCGTTCTACCGTTGCCAAAGAACCCACGTTAATCAAGAAGGGTCATTCCCTTCTCCTCTGTTGTAAACATTGACCATTAGTTTGTAATAAGTCATTCTTATAAATACAAATGACCCATAGAGCCGGGAAGTCAATTTTTTACACCCCCAACATTTAGTTAGAGCATTTCAAAGATTGTGATCTTCATCTCGACTCCTTAGAATGTGAGAGTCGTCAGTTATAACTCCTGTTGATGATTGTAAAAGGCCGTTGAATCAAAACTTCCATCGGTTGTTGTGAATGTCATTGAATTGTAACATTCGTTGATTGTCGTGAAAGTCTCCAAATTGTAGCCTTATGGAAGTCGTCGAATTGTAACTTTCATTATCAGTGCTAGGTGGGAATCAGTTACCTGTAGTAATTTTTAGACAGCCTACATCATGTTATGTCTAATTTAACTTATTTTAAGTCTAAAAAACAAGTTGAATTAGACTTAACATGAATCATGTTAAGTCTATTTCAACTTATTTAAGTCTAATTTCAATCATGTTAAATTCCTTTTAAGTCTAATTTAAATCATGGTAAGTCTAATTTAACTTTTTAAGTCTAATTTCATGTTAAGTCTAATTAAATTAGACTTAAAACAAGTTGAATTAGACATATATGATTTAAGTTAGACTTAAAAGGAATTAAGTTAGCCTTAATATGAATTAAATTAGACTTAATATAAATTAAATTAGACTTAACATGAAATTAGACTTAAAACAAGTTGAATTAGGCTTAACATGAATTAAATTAGACTTAAAACAAGTTGAATTAGACATAACATGATTTAAATTAGACTTAAAAGGAATTAAATTAGATTTAACATGAACCGAAGTAGACTTGACATGAAATAGACTTTCATATTAAGTCTAATTCAACTTGCTTTTAGACTTAACATGAAAGAATAGATGATATAATGGCATTTTGGGGTTTTTAATTTTTTATTTTCTCTCTATGCTTAGTTGGTATGTAATAAATGCTGAAGAAGGGCTACATAACATAGAGTTTTTACCTTTGGGGCTGAACCACATGAGAAAAAATGATGGGGCTGAAGCACATGAAGTTTTTGCTTTTGGGGCATTGACACAATTTTCCCATATTTTTTTGTTTTTTATTTTCCTTTTCAACGAATCTATTATTTTTGATAAATTTTGAAAATATTTTCTTTCTTAATTTAGTATTCCTATGAATCCTTGTAAATATTATATCTTGAAAATGCATAAATATACACTTTATGATTATAAAAATTTATCCTACATTATTTTTATCAAAATATCTCACTTCACCAACTTATTTCTATCTATTCCACTAAAAATATCTTAGAGCAACTCCAAGAGGCTCCTTATCATATGCCCTAGCTCAAATTTAGGGAATATGAAGTGAATATTTGGCTCAAACAAGCTCCCTATATGGTATTCCAAATATAGGGTCCTTGATTTGGTATTCCAAATCAAAGACAAGAAGAGACACTCCCTTTATCTACAGTACAATAATATGTTATCATTTTTGTTATTTTTTGGACGTATCATTGATTGCAAACACAAATCTATATAAAGTATTGACAAAAAAATACAATAACATAGTACAATAATAGAAAATACAATAATATAGAGAGTCATTTAGGGAGCATTGTTGGAGCATTTGCTTCTTATTTGGCTCCCTATTTTCTAAGATGATATATTTACTCCTCAAATATAGGGAAAAACTAAGATCATTATTGGAGATGCTCTTAATGATGAAAAATTTATTTCACTTTAACAATTATCTCATTCGCCCGAAAATGTTTTAATTTACTAACCGCCTCTACCCATGGCGTAGAAAGAGAGGATTTATCTGCAATTTATAATGAGCCCCACACGGATCTCGTTGTTTCCAACCCGAACCGGATCCGTTTTATTTATTAAAAGGAAACATGCACTCAGGTCGGATCTTTATGGAGGCCAACCCGGATAAAACCCAACCCCTACGCACATCTAGGCCCTTCTCTCTCTAAACGATAAATATCTACTCCCAAAAGTTCCCTTTTCTCTTTTCAGAGGTCATTCTCCCCTTTTTCCTCTCGATTCATTAGCTCAGACTCTCAATTCCTTCCCTCGATTTCGAGGGTTTTGTTTTAATTCCTATTTTCTTTTTAATTTTCTTTTTTCTTTCTTTAATTTGCCTCTTCAATTTCCAAGACCATAACCAGACCAGAACCCTAATCTATCTCATTCGTCGATCTGATTGAAGATCAAACCCTAGACGATGAATCAGCAGCAGCAGCAGAGGTTGAAGCAGCAAGCTCTGATGCAGCAGAGCCTCATGCAACAGCAGCAGTCTCTTTACAATCATCCCCTCTTGGCCGCTGCTCCTCAGGTGGAAACCCTAACCCTAGCTTCATAATTTCTCAGATCGATCTTCTCCTTTATCGTTTCAGTGCTTTTTTTGGTGATTAGTTTTTGAATATGCTAAGGTTTCATCATGGTTGTCAATTTTTTTTTCTGAAAATAATGTGGATTTGAGGTCATTTTGTCCTTTTTAAAAATAATTATGCCATTTGATTCACTTGTTCAGTTACTAAGTGAGGGTGTAGAAATAGAAATTACTTTGAAAAATACTCTAGTGTTATGGTTTTTTTAAATATTTTTTAACACACATACTCTCCAAATCAACCATCTTCCCAAATTTATCCCAAAGCTAGATATATAGTTAAAAAAATCATTCTTTTATTTATCACTAGTTTTGTTTGTGAATATTTATAGGGATGTGCGATATGTGAGGTTTTCATTATTCAGCTGGATCCAACTTAATCTTATATCTTAATTGGTGTTGCGTGCGTTAATGGTTAGATTCTACAAGCTCGAGCTTTTTCTTGGCTATGGGTGTTCATTCACTGTTGTATGTTAGAAAAAGTTGCTACATTTGGATCATGGAAGATAGTTTAGGTTTTGCATCTTTTGTTTTTTCATCATGATGCTAGAGAACATTTAGGACCAGGCAGATATCATGTGGAGTCTTTTCTGCTTTTTATTTTGACAAGTTTATATTTTTAGGTAGAGGTGCTGCTTAATTTTTTTTATTTTTATGGGTTTGTTAGGTGGGACTATTTTGTTTTCTTTTTCTTGTTCTTTTACACTTTTATTTTGCAGATAGAACCAATGTTCCCAAGCGGAAATCTGCCTCCTGGGTTTGATTCAAGTTCATGCCGCAGTGTGTGAGTGTTGTTAGGACTTTTTCATTTTTGTATTTTTCATTTTCCTTTTTGTTCTAGGTAGTTTGCATGTCTTCCTGTGGCAGTTTTCCTTCTATATGTTTGATCCATGTACTTCTCAATTGACTCAACCGCCCTATACTATAGCCAATTTTGTAGCACACATGCTTTTCTTTTTTGGAGTAAAGTAATAAATATCCGGCATTTCGAGTGAACTTCATTCAAGGTGCTTCCAGTTCCTTTTGTATAAATAAGGGCCGTAATGCCTTTTAGAATGTTTACCATTTGAGATAATATCTGCCATCTGCAGTTTGTTTGACTTGACAGTACCAGTTGGCATTTTTCTTACCTCATTTTGTGGTGGAGGTTATAAGTTTCTTTTCATTTTTTGTCAGGTATGTTGGCAACATTCATCTCCAAGTCACTGAATCTCTTCTTCAAGAAGTCTTCCAAAGCTGCGGTGTCCTAGAAGGATGCAAGCTAATCAGGAAAGATAAGGTTTGCACTCATGCCTTCCCTCCACTGGGTTTTCTCATTTATTTGCATACTTGTTGGCCATCTGCGGCTGATCCATATCTCATAACTAGCAAAAAGGTGTTAACATGTTGGCTTATCGGATAGCATTGATTCTTCTTACCCATCAATACCATGATCTCCCTGAGTCTCCCTGTCTATTGGTGATCACTGATCTCCTTTCATAACTCCAATTGACAAGTTTCTATGACCAAGTATTTGCCATCACTATGCATGATGTTAATATTTGTCGCAAAAAAGTGAATTGGCTAGAGTTGCACACTAGAAAACAACAAAAATTTGTTGACAGTTGTTCGTGCAATATTCATCGATCCAACTATTAGTCACCCCAGTCCTTTCTAACGGATGTAACATGCAAGATTATATGTCAATTATTTTCCTAATTCAAGAAAATTGACATTACATATTTCACTTGTCACAAAGATTACTAGTCATGGTAGATTTAGGCTTGTAGATAAGTAACACTTAGAAAGTGGATTTGCAGCAATTGAAGTTTACTGGACGGTGAAATACTTCATATTGAAGGCTTAAATTACTCATGATATATATATTTTATATTTTTATTTTATTGTGACTGACAGCAATATCATTGGTTAATATCTAAAGTATGGATCTAATCTTTCATCTATGCATTTTGATTTTGATAATGGTCTGCAGAGATATGCAAGCAAATTACTTCATATTGAAGGCTTAAATTACTTTATAGTGAAATACTTCATATTGAAGGCTTAAATTACTCATGATATATATATTTTATATTTTTATTTTATTGTGACTGAGCAATATCATTGGTTAATATCTAAAGTATGGATCTAATCTTTCATCTATGCATTTTGATTTTGATAATGGTCTGCAGAGATATGCAAGCAAATTACTTCGTTGCCTGAAATTTGGAATACTTATATTCAAAATTTGGCTGCCTAATTATTCTCCAGAGTCCAGATGTATCTGTTGTCTAAAGATTTCTCTTCTTTGAAACTAAGAAAACTAATTGTAGAACAGATGCTCATGCATGATCCTCTAACCATGTAAAGAGTTATGAACTGCTGATTTAATATAAAGCAGCAGCTTCTTTTTTTGGTTGACTGCATTATTTGTTGATCTATGTTTCTCTGTGTATAAATGTTTACTGGAATAAGTCAATACTCTTTGTTGTGTTCATGCATAACATCTTATGTTAACTTAGTTGTTTTATGCAGTCATCCTATGGATTTGTTGACTACTATGACCGTAGATCAGCTGCACTTGCTATTATGACACTTAATGGGAGGCACTTGTAAGTTACATAGCTTA